TTTACCTGAGGAACAATGTGACGTCATTTACGACTTATTTCGTGCAAAGCACGCAGCAGGAATGGTAAGTAAGAGCAAATATCCCCATTCCACACCAAACTTCTATGTCAAAAAGCCCAATGGGATGTGGCGCATTGTTCATGCTTAGAATAAGCTTAATGCGGCCACCATCCCTGCTCAGACACCAATTCCGAGGAAGGATGTTCTTCAGAACAATATGATGGGATGTACAATGTACAGTGCGCTCGACTTAGTCGATTATTATTACCAGCTGCTCATCCGAGATAGCGATATTCCGCTGACAGCGCTCAACCCTCCGAGCTGTATGCTCTGGGAGTGCCTCGTTATGACGCAAGGGTTATTAAATGCCCCGGCTACATTCAATCGTCTTGTGACACAATTGTTCAGGCCTCATCGGCGTTATTCACAGACCTACTTTGATGACATCTTTGTCCATGGTCGTGCTATGAAAGGTCGGTCGCATGTGAACGAGCACATTAACCATTTTCGAGCTGTGTTCGTGTGTATGCGCACGAATAAGTTGTATGTCAACGCATCTATATGAATCTTTGAGCATAAGAAATTTCTTTTTTAGTACTGCGTTGGGAGTCGAGTCCTTGGGGCGGATCCCGATAAGTTAAAATTCATGGTTGATTGGCAAGTTCCGAAGAACCAAAAATACTCACATAGTTGGCTTGGCCTTTCCAATTACTTACACAAGTACAGTGCGAATTACGCAGACATGACTCGGCCACTATCCAATCTCCTTAAAAATGATATGGAATGGTTCTGGACTATCATCAAGCATGATGCTTCTCAAGCAATGAAGTAGAGTCTGCTGCATGCACCAATCTTGGCTTTGCCCGATCCTGATCGAATTTCAGTGTCGTCTGTGATGCATCTGACTTTGCCATTGGTAGTGCCCTGTTACAAATAGATATCGATAGAAGGAAACGCGTCATTGAGGTTGAGTCCGGGCATCTGAAAGCAGCTGAAAAGAGCTATCATGTTCATTACAAAGAGCTACTTGCAATGAAGTATTCTCTAGTCAAATTTAGAGTCCATATGCTTGGCTCTAAATCATTTGTGATCTATACCGATCATGCATCACGACACACTGCAACCCAGTCGCTTCACCTCTCTCAGAGAATGGCTCGTTGGCTCTCATTCTTTGCCGAATATAACTTCGAGGTGAATTATAAGCCGGGGAAGCAGAATGCTTTGGCTGATGCGCTGTCTCGCAGGCCTGATAATGAGCTTGCTCATGTGACTACTCTGTTGTCGTCAGTCACTGACCTCATCCGTACGGCTTCAGCTAAGGATGAACAATGTGTAGCTCTGCTACGTTCTTCTGGGAGCGATGAGTACAAGGACTCAGACGTATAATTGTCGGCGAAATTACGTGCGAGGATATATCGATATTCCATTGATCAAGGCCTGTTGTGCTATAGCACGGACGTTGAAGATACTCCTCGATACGGTGTCCCTTATGGTGAGGAGTTGAAGTATTGGATCCTCTATGAGGGGCATGATAATGCGTTGTGTGGTCATCTCGGTCGTGAGAAAGCCTATGGCTTGGTTAGATAATGCCATCGGTGGCTCAAACTCTATAGAAGGGTCAGTACTAGTGCATACGTGTGAAACGTGGTAACGAATGAAATCCTCAGTACATGCGGCTGCGCCGCTAGCTAATTTGTTTGTACCCAAGGGGTTTTGGAACTCCATCGTCATGAACTTCTAGTTCGATTTGCCGAAGGATTTGTATGGCAATGCGGGTATTGTAGTCTTTGTTGACCGTTTCAGCAAGATGTCTCACTTGGCATTTGTGCCAGATCCATTGATAGTGAAGGTACATCTACAGTGTTTATCGTTTATTGATCGATTGTTGCGACAACACGATTTGACGGTATTAATTATCTCGGATAGAGACCCTCGCTTCACTGAAAAGTTTCCGGAGTCCGTCATCAAGGTGCTTTGCACACAATTGGACATGTTCAAAGCGGATCATTCGCAAAACAATGGTGAAACCGAACGCGTAAATAGCATTTACTGTTCCATATTACGCAGTCCTCAAGCTAATAAAACAAAACGTTGTAGCTCGATGCTCCTTGTAGTTAGTTTTGCGTTGAATAACGTTGGTCATGCCTCCACCGGCTACACACCATTCTATGTGATTGGTCTCATACACCCTCTCGTTTCGTTAAACTACCATTTCCGTAGTTTAGGGCTTGGTGGGGGAGAGATTGCCGATCGACTTGCTGATTTTAGTCCTTCTACTGCTTACAAACAGGTAAGCAACTTTGTCGCAACGCGATTGAATGTCTTACGACATGTGCGTGACGCACTGGATGGTAGCCACGTGAAACAGATAGAACAAGCGGGTGCTAAAGAAAGAGGTTTTATTGAACGTTGTGGGGTCGGAGACCAACTATAAAATTTGTGCTAAAAACCTACCTACAAATGTAGTGTCCGCTGTCAATAAGACAAATCTGCGACCGCGCTTCATTGGACCATTCACGGTCGTCGCGAAGATGGGGCTAGCGTATGGGCTAAACCTTTCGCTAAAGCTGCGAATACACCCTGTGTTCTTCTTTGGCTTCCTTATGCCGTATCCGGACACTTTTCACGTCCACTTGGAGATGCTTGAGCTGTAACAATTAGCCTTTCCATCGCCTATTGAATCCAAAATATAATATCAAGCTGAGCCTCCATTCTGGTTAGACCCAACTCCAACGCCTTAATTCGAGCTTGCGTCCGATCAAGCGCACTCCGGGTCTTACCTAAGGTCTTGCGGACTCCATTCACGTCGAGAGTCAGCTTCCTATGCTCCTCCCTCAGTACACCGGCCACCCTCGACGATGATCGATGAGAAAAAAAAGCCAACACGTCCATGTGGAGAGACCCCTAAAACAACGGCGTCGTTACGGTCAATTTCAGTATCTGGTATGGGTACCCGGAGTCGGAGAACACATTGGACTATGAGGCATCCCTTCGTCAGTATTACCCATCCTCCGTGGATTTTTTCGAACATTGCGCCAAGGTTCATCCTGAGACCGGGAACGTTTCTCACAACAGTGATGTGAGAAACCGAGTTGCATCAAAACACCTAGCCGAAACTCGCGATATTGGCGTAGCCAAAGCATAGCGTGAAAAATTACGCAAGTAGCCTCTGGTCTTGAGCTTGGCGTATTCGTACCAAAGCTATCGTTTCCGACGAACATCAGCCACGCTGACACTTGCTCTTAAAAGCCATCGTACTACTGAGGGGTGGAGCTCGATACACCCAGCGAATGAAGTGATTGTCTTCTTCTTTAGTTGATTCATTAGCGAAAAAGAGCATGGTCACGCACTCGATCTGTCGCACTGAGACATTTAGATCTATACGCTTAAGGTACACCTTATATTGGGGTAGCTTGGTCAAAAAGGGTTCGAGGTACCTCCCGTGTAGTGCCTGCCGGAAGCCAATGTCCTAAGACGAAGTCGCCTCTGGGCCGATGGCTCATGTCGACAGACTACGGCCCACCGCTTTCCGGATATGTTTTTCGACGTCGGGTGTTGTAATCACATAGCCGCAATGGCTTTCGAGTACTGTTTCAACCTGAGTACGGTGCAAAAAATCTTCTCTTGCTGAAGGATCAGCTGTTGTTGCTCATCTAGCGGGTTGGTGATGGTGATGTCCCGAGCATCCGTTTCGGTTAAACGATGCTGCGCCACTGGCGCGTAGGCTTCACCAGGTTCGTCGAACCGATTTTAATGCCGAAAGGAAGTAGAACTTAAGGCACACGTGGGTTTGCCACTGTCTTTTCTTAACTATGGACACTTTTATTGCTACCATAGTCCACCACTTCATCGAGGTCGAGACAAGAGAAATAGCCTGAGACTTGTGATGTGGCGATGTCATGGTGCTTCGTGCTTGATTAACCGTGAGGTTAAGGGCACACACATCGACCTCTTTAAGGGGAAAATCAGAGTTTGAGAATCGTGACGTGTTGATTGCCGTGGTGCTTCGTGCTTTGACCAATCGAGAGCTTAGGGGTAGACACAACGACCCCTTCGAGGAAAGAAATGTTCTGTGGTGACGTTAAGCTGGTGGGGGGGTTGGTTAACGGCATAACATGTGTGGTTGACACCAGGGATGAGACCCCATTTAAAATGATATAGAACACCGTATTAGTTGTTGGGGGCTGATGTGTGTCAGCCGCCAAATACGAGATCTTTAAAAGGAATTAATTCGAACTTTCATATCTAGCTTGAGTACGTTTAGTCTGAGGTGTTCTCTCCGATTTAACTAATAAAGTTCAGTTTCCCTTTTGATCTAATAAAGACACGTGCCTCCTTAAGACGTTTCAGATCGTAAGAGAGTCAAGTTCTTCTGACGACACAGACTCGTTAGCACATTGTGCAGTCGATTGACTGAATCGGTAAGGTCCCTTGAACAAGGACCTGGAGCTGTAAGCTCGTTGACTCGTAGAGTCGAGTTCTCGTAAAGAACTAGCTTGTTCACTGAGCACACAAGCCTTCCTCTGGCTAAAGGCTGTGCTAGCTCCGCTACAGTGCAGTTATGACACTCCAGTTGCATCGTACGCGCACTTGGAGATAATTTAGCGCCTTATGTGCCAAGCCTCGTTAATTTTGCGATGAAGACGATGAATTCACAATTTGAACTCGTTCGCACATGTGCTGCTGGGGCATTTGCTGATTTGGTTCCGTTGATTCCTCTTCACATAGACCTCGAGCATCGGGAATCTGAGCAGCTACTTCCTGACTCGTTACGAACAATCGTAAAGCAAAATGCTGTTTCACGTACCTTCCTGGAGAGCTTTGCAAAAGGTGAGGCGATCGAGCATACCGATCTTACATCTCTGCTAGCTCGCGATACGAGATTGCGTCTGCACCAACAACATGGCGTGGATTGGCTTTGCTTTATGGCCAAAAATAATCTACATGGAATCCTTGCTGATGATATGGGTCTCGGTAAGACGTTGCAAACACTTACAGCCATGGTTGCCACGTCGGTCTTATCAGCCTCAGCCGGAAGTAAGGCTACAACGATGCCTTTCCTTGTTGTGTGTCCGCCGATCGTCGTTTATCATTGGATACAGGAAGTCAAGCAACACGTCCCGGGTTTCTTTGCATCTATAATCGACTATTCAGTCCCTGCTAGCGAACGAAAAGTCTTGCTCCAAGATGGTATAAGGTCATTGTCGGACCAGGGTCCGACATTGATCGTAACGACGTACTCCATACTGCGCACGGATATTGAGCGCTTGGGGAATGCCACTTACGCCTTTGTGGTGCTCGACGAAGCGCATTTGATTCGAAACCCATCCACCGCTTTGTTCCAAGCGGTACGTAAGCTTATGGCGTTGCATCGTGTTGCCTTGATCGGAACGCCGTTGCAGAACAATGTCACCGATTTGTGGGCTCTCTTCGAGTTCTTGATGCCCGGGTACTTAGGCGACTTTGTTGCGTTCCGCCGCGAGTTTGTGTTTCCTATCACAAAGTCAGCACAACGTAATGCAACGACAAAGCAGAAGAAAGTGGCGGCCATTGCTATCGCGCGGTTGCATCAGAAGGTGTTGCCGTTTATTTTGCGTCGAACGAAAGAGCAGGTGCTGACGGAGCTTCCTCCAAAAGTTATTTCGAATGTGCTTTTACCCATGTCTTCGCTACAGCGGTGCCTATATTCACTGGCAATGTCGACAGAAAGTGGGAGCTCAAGCTTGTCAAGGTATTCGCGGTCGAATAGTACTGGAGCCGAGAGGGCGGAGACAAAGCTCAACGTGCTAGCTAATTTGCAGCTACTACGCAAAATTTGCGTCCAACCAGCGCTTGTTGCGAGCGCCAAAGTTGCTCGGCTTCTTGACACAACGGACAAGGACGCTCTTCGAGACTGGAAGTGCTCAGGAAAGATGACAGGTTCGCGTGACCTGTTGGTCGAGTGCTGCGATGTAGCACCGCAGGATCAACTTTTAGCAAGTGAATCTTCTGCCAGGGACGACCTGGATGACAGCCGAATTTCCCCCCATCGGTGTCTCGTATTTGCTCACTTGCAACAGATACTGGGTATCACAGAGCAAATGCTGCAAGATGCACTGCCCAGAGCCACGTACCGGCGCCTTGATGGACGAACAGCCCACTCAAAGCGCGCAGATACTGTAGAATCCTTCATCTCTGATCCATTGATTGACATTTTGCTGTTGACAACGTCGGTAGGTGGTCTAAGACCAACACTCACCGATGCTGACACGGTCATCTTTATCGAGCACTCATGAAACCCCTTTGTTGATTTGCAAGCCACGGATCGCGTTCAACGCATCGGATATAAGCAATGTGTATGTGGTTATCGGTTGATCGTCGAGGGATCTCTGGAAAAGCACATCGTAACTTTTTTGGGGATTCAAAGCAAGTTGCAGATACGGTAGTGCAAAAGAGCGGTGCTCGAAGCAGTATGAACACGGGCACAAAAGGTGTTCTGGATCTGTTGCGCGCTTTATCGTTGGCAGCGATTGCTACAAAGCTTCGTGGATCTGTCACAAAAGCGGATTCTGAATAAACTGACCGCGCTGCTGTGCGCTTCCACAAGACGCCAAAGCACTTATTGACGACATCAGCGAGCTATGGGATGAGTCGCAGTACGAATCGTTAGCCATTCCTGATGTCTTTAATCAGTAGGTTCGTCACGCGGCAATGCTTCATCTCAATCTTTGGAATTGAATGCAACTATAGCCAAAGGCTGCTCCCAAGATAGCCCAAATTGAGCGCCGCTACCGAGGCTGGCTTATATTTTCTCAATGACACGGTCTTGTAGCAAATTATGACATCGAATAGAAAGGTCCGTCAGCTACAGCAGGAATGTTGGCCATGATCACGATTGCTTCAGCTTATGTATCTCTAGCATAAGGAAACGAGTACTACTGTACACGCAGTATTGGTGTAAACAGGAGGCATGCACCGCTGCAGTGGCCTCACAATGTGTAGAGGGGCAACTGTCCTGGCGGCGATAAGGGCGATCGCGGCGCATCGGACTAACATTTCGTACCACAAACCTGCGCGTATGGAGCCATGTACGAGTAAAGTTTTGGCAGCAGTACCGACTTCAGCCCGTGCTCACGAATTCGTGATGATAGACGACGGGGCAACATTAAATTCGCCAAGCAAAATTAAGTCTTGAGTACGATACGGTAGATAAAAACACCAGTCCTAATTGAAGGGCACCGATCCTCGTGTACTGAAAAGATGTGTTCCTACGGTTGTTCGGCAAACGGCAATGTCAGACTAACAAGCTTAACGAGCTCTTTGGCCTTCTTGCGACGGTTTCGCGTCTGTTTCGAGATACACGTCCATTTTTCACCATGATGGGGATCCGAGATCACAGCACGATTCAAAACCTTTTCTGCCGCTTCCGTTGTACCATGTTTAAGCTCAAATAGATAGTAATGTGCCCACGCATCTCCAAAATCCGAATCCAGCTGAACTGTTCGCTCCAACCACTTGCGTGCTTTTGAGTACTTGCGTTCCTGCCAAAACAATTTGGCGACTGATAAACACACCGACGAATCGTTGTCTTTCTTCTTCAGTGCGGTGAACGATGCACGCTTCTGCTGCGCACGTGGGGCAATGTCAATTGATTCTGCCAAGAGTACGCCTGATTCGGGGCATTCTTGCAAAGCCTTGGCCATCAGCATCTCTTGTCCTTTGGGGTTGTTCCATCGGGCTTCTAGTCGAGCAGCTTCTAGCCACAATAAATCAGTCTTTGGGTTTTTCAATCGAGCCATCTCCAATACCGAGCGCGCCTTGGTTACGCCATTCAGCTTTTCTTCCAATCGGCTGGAAAGAGTCCACAACACAATTGACCTTGGACAATTCTGAATTCCTTCGCGGTATATTTTCTTTGCACTCTCATAGTCCGCTGGGTCCAGCGCTTCGTACAACTGCCCAGCCATCATATACAACTTCGGGAAATCAGGATATAGCTTGATTCCTTCCAAGACAAGGTCTTCCTCGATCTTACGATTCTCAGCACATTCTCGCTCAAGCAGCACAGACTTCATCCATACATGCGGCGACGGCGCTTGAGCGCGTGCTTTAGCCAGCAATGCCCGCGCCAAGTCAATTTCATCGTTCTCCCACTCCAACTTCACAGCTGCCAGCCAAATCGCCTCGCTATTCGGATTGGCACTAAATGCTTGGCGCAATACCAATCGCGCATTCTCCACCGATCCGTTGGTCCAAACCTCCTTCGCAGCCATAAGCCATAAAATTTCGGCGTTGGGACAACACGTGACGGCCTTCTGCAACAGCTGCTCAACAGGTTCAGAACTCGTGCCTTCTTGGATCTTCTTCTCCAGCGCAATTGCGCGTAGCCAAATTGACTTCTTACCCGGAAAAACCTTCAATGCAGCTGCATATATGGCCTTAGCAGTTACCAGTGCACCACGATTTATGCTGTTTTCAGCATCGTCCATCCATGTACGCTTACGATCTTCGTGATCAACACCAACGTCCAAACTAACACGCACGATTGCCGCACAGGTCAAAGGTGCACCAGCTTGCTCGCATGCTTCAGCTTCCTTCAGCCACATTTCCCGGTTCATGACCACCTGATGTTTTTGAAGTGACTTCAGTGCCAACTGGATGATACGATCAATCATGTCTACATTCTTTCCTTGTGCTTCTTCCAGCTTGGCTGCCGTGATCCAGATCGACGGCTCGGTTGGGATAACAGCGCGTGCCTTGTTCAACGTTTTCTTTGCGTTTTCGTATGTTTCGAGCCGAGCCAGTGCAAGCCACAGGTCCACCGCTTGTGGAACGCATTCGACAGCCCGCCCGAGCAAAATTCGAGCACCGTCGACATCCTCCATTTCAATAAGGGCCTTCCACAACTTTACCGAGTTGGGGATAAACTCGAGAGCGCGACGCATCACGAGCTTTTTCAGCTCGTCATCGTTTTCGAGCTGCGCTGCTTGAAGCCAGATCTTGACCGACTTAGGCAAGTGTCGCACAGCTTTGGCCAATATCGTCTTGGCATTCTCCGGATTTTGCAATCGTGCTGCTTCCAGCCAAACATCTTCTTGTGTCGAACATGACTCGCAACCTTGTGCAATGATCTTTCTCGCTTGCACCAACTTGCCCGCCACTTCTTCCAATCTTGCCGCAGCAATCCACCCGGGTCCATGCTTGGGATTCGTCATTGTCACGGATCTCAGCAAAAGTCTCGCTTTTTTTATATCACCAATCTCAGCATCGCTCGTCATCTTCAAGCTGTTCAAACTCGTGAGGTATCCCTTGGGATCCACAACCGTCTGGCCCGAGATCGAGTCCGACATCTTGTCCAGCTTATGGGACAACTGAGCACCTCTCGCACCTGCCAATCCTGTCATAGAGCTCGTCATGCCATTCGGTGTATCGACCCCATGGACCGGTGTGATCGTCCCACTCACTCGAGCTCCCGCAGTTCCCAAGAGACTGTCAGGCACAGGCGCAAACATCTCGTGACGTTTCTGCAGTGCCGTGTGGGTTTTGTGTTTGAGCGAATAGTCCCCAATCTCAGGGATCAGATCCCACTCCGCATCCGACATGTACTGCAGTGAACTTTTAAGGTCTGCAAACTGGTCTGAGATCTTGGGCATTTCCTTGCGCGCTTTCTTCAGCTCCTCGAGTTGACGGAGCTCCCGGCGGCGTTTCCGTCGGGAGTCCATGCGCTCGTCCACCTGCTCGTATGTATCGTCTGCTTCCTTGTCGTCTTGATCGTAGGGCGTGTCCTGGAACAGACCGCGGGACGAATAGCCCGAGAATTCGTCGTAGTTCGTCTCACTGTAGTCGCCAAAGTCCTCGTTCTCGTCCTTTTCACGTCCAAATCCGCCCATTCCAGCGGTCCCTGACCCGCGTCCGGCACCCGGTCCTGCGCCTGCGATCTCAACGCCTCGTCCACGACCAGCGGGCGGGAGAAACGGTGCGTCCTGCGTTCCGTCCTGCGTCATGGGCGCACGCGCCGGACCGATGTCTGAGCGCGTCGTGAAGCCCACGGCGCCCCGACCTAACCCCGGCACATAGTTTGCCGGTGCGCCGGACGTGTACGTGTTGCGGACGCGTTGGCCTAAGCTGCTCATGCTCGCAGAAGTGCGATGACGCGGATGAGGTGTGTCTGGGGCGGAGTGGAGGAGTTGGTGTGGTTCACGTACAAGTAGGAACGTGATCCAGTGGACGAGGATGGAGAGGGCGGATGTTGTTTGATTACGGTGGCGTATCAATTTAAATTACATTCGACCTTTTGTGTATGAACAAAGCGATGCAGTGAAGAATAAAACTGTGTTCGCGACCCTCTTCGTCCCAGCATGAACAAGTTACGCGTAGAGCCAAACCGTGCTAAAAACATGTTGAGTTTGACAATGAAGCTTTTGCTCGTTTTTGGCCGCAAGTGGCTGCCAGAAGTTATACACTGCGAGATCCCACAGTGCCGTCTGGACGAATAGAGCGCTTAAAAGACGTGTTTACACGGCTATTAAAGTATCGTAGTTGAACAATCGTTCAATTCCATGCAAAGACGTGAATTGTACCGAGCAGCTCGTTACCAGCACTTGCCTGCTTTTGCGACCGCATGAACACCCTCCACAAGTGGTGTTATGGAATCGCTTTAAAGCTCTACTTATACGATCGTACGGGCCTGTCGTGGGTTGTCGATCTAGTTATAAACATGATTTCGTACAATCGCACGATGTTAATAAACTTAATGGCACGAGGCGTGCCTAGAAATTCGACCATGCGAAGCGCCGAGAAGATATTCGAGCGCCTATCTTGCGTGTACATCTGTGCAAAATCGAGGTCCATCTGCCAAATAAGCTCACGCCATTCGCAAATAAAATTTTTGGAACCTTTGGACGTACCTCTGTCGGCGTCATTTAAACGGTCCAATGTCCTTTTCCCTCTTGAAAGCAATTCGGCAGTCTCGCGCACGCCGTATGGGTGATATAGGGGTGCAAGATTGGCAATCATTTTTTTGATGGTGCAAGTTGTAGCGGGTGCGATGTAAAACATGCTTTAGATCACTAAACGCAATAACGTATGCTTCGCTTGGCAGGCTTGAATGATCTGGAGTGCTACGCGTAGACATGAGCAGTAGATTTGTCTTTGGTCAGTTTGAACAAAAATGATAAGTTGAAACAGGTCGTAAACTACGGTAATACTTTGTAGTAGCTAACAAAAGCATCGTTACAACCTCCATCGGTTTCAGAAAACGATGAAGCAACAGTTCACTGCGGAATTTGTAGGCCTAAATTCAGCCGCAATCAGCAGTTTAACATCCTTTTTCATACATGTATGTTCTAGTTGTCAGAGGGTGAGTGGGTATACATAGCATTATTGCATAGTGCCTACTTAGCGCACTAAAGCTACAAATGTTTGTTCCCCGTTAGGTCCTGCAGATTATGTCGTGCGCCCCTACAGATCCAGCCCAGGTAATGGCTATAGATATGGCATGTGAGATACGTAGACCAACATCCTAGATATGTGTGTCAAAGCCCGCAACGCCACTCCCAGGTCCTCATGTGCTACGACAAAACAAGATGAAACCAGATGTTCATAAATACAAGGATTGTGACGTTTACATCACAAAAGCTTGACAATTTTAGGTCCTAACCTGTTGCATGGATGCGACTGCATCGGAATGGGGTCCAGCTGTACTCAATTGCTATTCCAAGAAATTGTGCACCTTTGCATTAGCAAGCCAAGCTGCGCCGCGTAACCATTGTGATCGTCAAGAGCGCACCTGGGTGAGACATTGGCGAAAGCTTTCACGATCGAACAAGTCCGATACAGCGCTACGCGATGCTATGACCAGGCCTTTGGAAATGTCTTACAGTGTCCGGGAATGGGGAAGCTCACGTTTCTATCAACTTTCAAAAGCTGCCTGGTCCGGAAGAACATAGGCTGGAAATCACCTACGACTTCAACCCGTTGCGCGACCTATTGGTTGAGTGCTAGATTAATGGAGTCAACAGGAGTCGTGGCGAATACAAAAGTTTGTGTGCAGCGTGCTACAAGCACGTCGATTGCATTTCCAGGATAAAACGATATCTCTTAATTTTTCCCCACACACATTCTACACCTCTACCACGCGTCGATACTCGGCCTGCTGCAGCTCTGATCGCCAATGCCGCTGCTGCTTGGACAAGCGCAAAGCTGTTAAATGCCAACGATATGCAATAACGCATGGAGATGCACCGCAGCAATTCGTACAGGAGAAGTCGTGGCGGGATCGGACCACCACTTGCAGAGCCACCAATATGAAGAAACGAAGTGTTGGAAAGTATCAGAAGAGTGACGTGAATACGAGAGAGGGTCAGCAGAGGCCAACCGTTCCTACCATCAGCAACGACAGGCCCAAGTTGCAAGAAACAAACTTCTATACGTGTTCACTCATGTACGGACTTCTCTGTGGCGTGTACAACTCTATCGAATCCACACATCATTCTGTGTAGAAGACACAATCGCTTTCAAGGTGCAAAGGTTCAAGTTGGGCTCCACCGCAAGCATCAGTAAAGCTCCGGAAGGCAGATCAACACAAGAAAGCGCTTAGCAGGCCGCAGCATGGCAGCAAACAACGGCCACACGAGGCTTACAAAGAAGCTCATGGAGCAACAAGAGCGGTCATACACAACGGCTGAAATCGCGACAGCCAAATCTTTGCTTTACTGGGCGAGTAAGCGACACCAGTTTGTCGAAAACTATAGTGCTGCCGAATACAAAAGAACCAATGAAGACTTCTTCTAAACATACCCGTGCGCACAGATCTGCTGGCTTACGTGTTGCTGAGTGCTAGAACGGGGAGAGTTAGAACGCGTACATGGCTTCCTCGCACAAATTGCACGCGGACGTGTACCGATGCTATCCAAAGTATTCGGACACGTACTTCGAGACAATCCTGTGAGGTAAAAGCATTGGCCCACGCATGCGATCGACTGGGCATATACCGAGCAGCATTCGCATCGCATCGCATCGCTACCTTGTCAGTACAACGAAACTAAGAACCGATCTACATGCGGATATCTCGATCGATCGTAGCGTTATAATTTACCGGAAAATAGGACGTCAAACTCCCAGCAATATAGCACCATCAGGCCACACGACACTACGAGGAGCACGTCTGCTGTTGTGCCTAAGCGAAAATCGCCCGGCTATACCACGACCCGTCGCCTGAAATGACGAGCTTCGTCTAACCCATTGGACTCGCATCTGGATCAGCGTAGCTGAATCAGGCTTTGGCTTTACTCGACTTACGCAATGATCAAGTAGGTGTTCATGGACAAGATAACCTGTCCCACTGCCCAGTCCGACATTTCACGTGTCATCCCTCAAACAGACCATCACTCTCTCTACCCGTCACGCGGAGCTTGAATCCGGTCGTGTCCTTTCGGCTTTCATTCGCAGATTCACTCACTCGCACGAACGTCGCACCGCTTCAATGCGTCTGCTTCCTCTGCGCTGTCGCCACCGCCTCCTCCTGCGCCACCGCAACGTACGCTCGCTCCAGACGGCAGCAGAAGCGGCGGCCGACGTGTCGTACACGCGCGGTCTGTTCCTCGGCGTGAACAATGCCGCACGGGCGTTTCCGTACCCGGAGCTGTCGCCCAACGAGGCCGAGACGCTGCAGATGCTCGTGGACCCCGTGGCGAAGTTCTTTCGCTCAGTGGACTCGCGCGCAATCGACGAGACAAAGACGATCCCACCAGAGGTACTGCACGACATGAAGGAGCTCGGACTCTTTGGCCTGCAGATCCCCGAGGACCTGCACGGCCTCGGGCTCTCCAACACAGGCTACGCTCGGGTCTGCGAGGAGATCACGGACGGGAGTTTGGCCGTGACGGTCATGGCGCACCAGTCGATCGGCCTCAAGGGCATTCTCCTGAACGGCAACGACGCGCAGAAGGCCAAGTACCTCCCGAAACTCGCGACCGGCGAGCACATTGCCGCCTTTGCCCTCACAGAGCCTTCGAGTGGGTCCGACGCGGGATCGATCAAGACGCGGGCGACGCTGTCGGAAGACGGCAGGCACTTTGTGCTGAATGGGAACAAGATTTGGATCAGCAATGGCGGCTGGGCGGACGTTCTGACGGTGTTTGCCCAGACGGACGTCAACGGCACGGACAAAGTCACGGCGTTTATTGTCGAGCGCGCGTTTGGGGGGGTAACAAGTGGTCCATCAGAGGACAAACTTGGGATCCGAGGCTCCAATACGTGTCAAGTGTTCTTTGACAACTGCAAAGTGCCGATCGAAAACGTGTTGGGCGGTGGCCCCGAGATGAACACAGGCGGCGCAGCTGGCGTCGGCCAGGGGTTCAAGGTGGCGATGAACATCCTCAACAACGGTCGGTTCGGCCTCGGGGCATGTGCTGGAGCGTCGCTTCGTCGAGTGCTCGGAGTCGCTGCTGAGCACGCAAACTCGCGCAAGCAGTTTGGCGCACCATTGGCAAACTTTGGCTTGATCCAGAAGAAGTTTGGCACGATGGCGCTGGACGCGTACGCGATCGAGTCCATGGCGTTTATGACCACAGGCATGATCGACCGCGGCGACCCGTCGTGCGAAATTGAGGCCGCCATGTGTAAGGTGTATGGCTCGGAAGCAGCGTTTACCGGCATCAACGAGTGCATCCAGGTCATGGGTGGCACTGGCTTCATGAAGGAGTGGCCGTTCGAGCGTCTCATGCGCGACTGTCGTATTCTTTCGATCTTTGAGGGCACAAATGAAATCCTTCGCATGCTCATTGCTCTTAGTGGTATACGGGTACGTAAGCTATGCTAATATGGTGGCGTGATTGGCCTAACATGCTGTTGCTTGGTGTGTTCGACAGACTGCTGGCGAACGCCTTTCGGCCGTCGGTAAGCTGCTCCAGAATCCACTATCGGACCCGTCGAATGCGGCCAAAGAGATATCGGACCGTTTGCAGCGCAAGTTCTCGCCGTCTCCATTGAAAGGAGCGCACTCGAGTTTATCCGGTCAAGTGAATCTGCTGCAGAAGCGCACGGCGGAGTTTGGTGACGCTGTCGAGTACCTGCTCCGCAAGCACGGCAAGAAGATAGTGAACGAGCAGATGCAGTTGGAGCGCGTGGCTGACTCGGCAATCGCGCTGTTCGCCATGACCGCCACCATCTCACGCTCGTCTGCTTCACTAACCGCCGGCAACGAGTCGGCCGAGCACGAGAAGAAACTCACGATGCTGTACTGCGACGTGACGTCCAGCAGGATTCAGACTCTGCTCCGCGACATCAAAATGGCCGGCAAACGCGACGAGCAGCTGCGCGAGATCGCTGCGGAGGTGCTCACAGCCGGGAAGTACATTCCGAGCCACGCCACGGGCATTGACTGCTAGGCGAGTAGGTTAGCGACCGAAACTTGCCCTTTTTCTGTCCCCCCTCGCTTTGTTCACGTGAAAGTCTGCAGCGAATACGATGTGGAGTCGATTTTCTGTTTCCGGACGTTGAAGTTGCGATTGACTCGACTGCTGTATGCGGTCAGAGTGATGGTCGCACGCGGGTGAAACGTTGCGTTCCCCCACTTCTACGGCAGCGACCGCATGGGCTCCTCGCTGTCCCTGGGCCGGGCACTAGCTGTCCCACAGCCGCCGCAGCGCTCGCTCCTGCGGCTGCGGGACCGAGTGCGGACGCTTCTCCGGCTGTGGCTGCGGTGGTGGGTCGCTGCGACGGGTCTAGAGCGACAGGCGGCGCTCGTGCGGCGGATCGTCCAACACGTGCGGCAGCAGCGGCGCGCGCACCGCACCGTATGCGCAAAGTACGATTTCTGGCGCCCACTGATCGCGACGCTTGTCGAGCTGTGGCTGCAGACGGTGCGGGCCGTTCTGACGCCCGACGTGTTTACGCGCTACCTCTGCGCGACGCTCGTGCTGCACGTGGTCTACGGGCTGCAGACCGTCGCGCGCCAAGTCGTGGGCGACACGTGTCGGCGCTTCACCGCCAACGGCCGCCGGTCGCTGCGGCTCCAGCAGCAGCTGCAGAACGCCACGAGCTTTGCGGAGCGCCAGGCGATCGCTGGCGCGCTGGACGCACTCGAGGGACGGGACACGTGGCGGGAGGATCCCGTGTCGCGTCTGTTTCTGTACGAGCGCGTGACGAACAAGACGCTCATGTACCGGACGCTCCAGCGCGAGCGGGACGTGATGGGACTTATGTTTGCTCTCCGGGCGGGACTGTTGAGGAAGCACTGGGGTCTGGGCAACCCGCGCCTGTATTCGGTCAGCAACGGTCTGTGGCTCGCTGGTGGTCGTCTTCTTTCTTTCTACGTTGTTTTATTTTTCGTATTACTGCAGAGCGACTCGTTTGGTGCTCAGTGGTTTGATTGATGTGCGTGTGTGTATGTGTGTGTGTGTGTGTTTTGGACTGGTAGTGGGAACAAAGCATGTGATTGAGGAGTACCTGGACGCGATAGTGCAGTCAATGAACGTTGTGCTGCGAGCAAAGCCGCGATCTGACGAGGAGCACGACGACTTGTCAATTGACAACAAGTTGGCGTTCTTCAGCGAGACACGACATGCTTTTGGTCGATCGGCGTTGATGCTGTCTGGCGGCGGCGCGCATGGGTTCTATCATGCGGGCGTAATCAAAGCCTTAGTCGAAAACAATTTACTGCCTACTGTAATTGCCGGATCATCAGCAGGATCGATTTTGGCGGGTGCAATTGGCGTTCGCAATGATGATGAAGTGCTGGACTTTTTGTCCGGATCGAGTGTGAATTTGAGCTTCTTGAAAGCCAATATTGCCGAGCAGGATCTGGCGGATTACACGCCATCGTTGTTACCTCGCATCAAGTCGGTGCTTCCTGATAGTGCATTTGCGTTTGTGCAGAACGCATTCGTTCTACTTGGCCGATTCTTGGATAAGCGCTTCGTATTGGATACAGAGACGCTTCGCAGCTGCTTACGGAGTGCAATGGGAGACTACACCTTTCGAGAAGCATACGATAGGACGGGTCGGATCATCAACGTTACAGTGACGCCGCTGAGTACTGATGATTATCCCCAGTTGCTTAATTATCTCACGGCCCCAAATGTCATTATTTGGTCGGCATCCCTAGCGTCTTGTGCGATTCCAAACGTTTTTCGTCCCGTCGAGCTGTTGGCCAAGGACGAAAAAGGAAATGTTGTTCCTTACTATCGCGAGGGATTGAAGTGGAGTGATGGAAGTGTCGAGTGCGACCTTCCTATGGAACGTTTGTCGGAGCTGTTCAATGTGAACCACTTCATTGTTAGCCAGGTCAACATTCATTACAAGATCGTTTCAGGTCATTCGGTGTTTGGGAGTGAACAGACTGGAAGCCTCATGAGCTTTCTAAAGAAGCAAATGAAAGCGTACATAAAAAACATTGCCGAGTTTGGTCTCAACACATCCGTGCTCAAGCTCCTCGACATTGGCTTGGTGCCTTTGCTGACACAAAAGTATGAAGGGGACATTACGATCTGCCCTACCGACAAGATTTCCGCCATGACGTTGCTGCGAACAGTGATGACCAACCCATCACGTGAGACTTTTCCAGACATATTGCTGGCTGGTGAACGGGCGTGTTGGCCAGCAATTGCACGTATTAGAAGCATGTGCCGCGTGGAATTCGCTTTAGAACGTGCAGTGCGATACTTGCGTGGCGAGCAAGCGTTAGAAGATGAAAGGCAGAGCGGGCGGAAAGCTATTGGCCGTGTACCATCGTTCTACACCTCACCAAGCTCCATGAGTTTGTCAAACTTGGACCAGTCACCTCCTGCTCCACAAAGGTTTGCTTCACTACCGTCTACTACAGGAAAGCTGTCTCGACGTCGTAGCTTTGATGGTGGAGAGCGAGAAGACGCGATCAGTAGTCCTGGTGTGAGTTCTATGCGTCGGAATAGGTCAATGAATATCGCAGGAGCTGTTTTGTCACTTGATGGAGGTGCCAGTGCTTCTGACTGCAGCCACTTTGATATGTAGAAAAGTACCAGCAAGCACCATTTACGAGCTGCACTATATCGCTTCTACAAACGTATCATAAACATCCAGTGAGTGTGAATGAAACAAAGAGCAATTTGCTGATTGTCGCGAAAAGGCTTACAACAATTACACAGAACAATGAGTCCATTTTTTCATTTTTCATATAACTCATCAATCGCTAGCGTTGAATGAGAGAAAGTGGTGCATACATGATCGCGCGCGCAGTGTCGTGTAAGCTCAACGAATTCTCATATCGACTATCTTTTCACAAGAGGTATATGTCGATTCCTTTTAAGTAAAAAAAATCGGTCCTTTGTGTCCTCTAATGAGATTGTTTCGACCTAAAGTTTCGTTTTCTAAATCTCCGACATTCACAATATTAATCACCACATCGGACATAGACAAATCTCATATTGTGTCGATCGGCCTATTCCTACACGCCATTTGAAAATCGAAAACAAAAATGGCTAGCGCACTCCTCCTTCAGCAATCCGGTCACACTTACAATAGGGCTGATACAATGTCACGACCGAAACAGTAGCTACATGTCGACTTCTACGACGCAAGCCAACGTTGATATTAAACTTCATTGACAAGGAATTCAACTCCCGCTCATGTAGCAACAATCGGTCATCGAATATGGTCAAAACAAATTCCCGGCTGTACTCCGCGTCCAGATTTACCAAGGTGTTTCGCACGTCCCTCTTGATTCCAACGCTCACTTTAACAGCTTCAATCATGAAGTGTATAATCCCAATCGCATGGCTAATCGCTAGATTTTATCACTGTGCCTCTGTAGCTACACTTGTTCGGGAAGATACCTACAATGCTTGCTAATACGCAGATCGCTATACACGGAGTGTTGGTCGGTGTGTGTCTCGCCAAAGCCCCATGATAGAGAATCAAACAGAGAACACAATATTTATCGACCAAAAGAGTAAGTGAGATTCAGTTGATCCGCAGCTACACTAAATAAGAAGCGCCGCACTCCAGCAACAAATGTCATGTAGGCCATAGATATAATATACAAAATGATACGCGTCTCAAGTTTTTCTCTCTTCTCCATGCAGCAATTTTGTAGCAGCATCTTCGACTTCGACGCCTTTCGACACAAAGATGCCAATGTAGAAGGACTGATATCGATTCAATGTGGATCAAAGTGGGATCTTATAGAGGAGAGGTGTCTGGATTGATCATGGTCATGGTGGGAAATCAAATCGGAATGTCACGCTGTTTGCAGCACAATCACCTAACCAATTGGTTGTACATGGTACAACATTTGTACGAAAGCTGAGCCGAGAACAGTTTCGTAAAAGATTGATATGAAGTGCGCAGATTACAACTGAAAGTACACAGTCAATAATCAAGCATGTGTAAGGATGAGAGAGCTTTCCAAGCCACGGAAGCATCCGGCCCAACCTTTACGCAAAACTGGTGTACAGCGACGCCTTGCTTTGTCTTCTTTACGCATCAGTAGAAGCTAATTGTCAACAGCCTGAGATGCTCTGAAAGTGTCGCGTGAACGACCTGCATGGCCACACACCCTAGATTATTTACGTGATGACTACCGACAAATAGTAAGTTTTACATGTAATGGGGCACACCCTTGCGTGAACTTAACGCAAGGGTATCGTACCCCGACAAGCGTACACGAGGCAAACGAGGAAGCGTAGATAAGGGAAAAGTAGAACTGTTATATTAATATAATTAAGTACTTTGTTGCTGTCTCTCTGTTTAACCTGACTTAATTATGTTAATATAACTGAGTGTATGTTGACGTCTCGTCACCACTCATTGCGCGCGTCCTGCGGCGATTGGTGGGTTGATATCATCACAATATCAACCAATAAGCAGAACCTTTGGTCGCCTCACCAATATCACCACTATCGGTGATATTGTTCAAAGAATATTCAACTCAATATTCTTTATTGTCATTCATTCGATAAAGTGACAATTCCATGTAACGGGCTGCCCCGTTACATCACCCCCCCTTAACTGATAGTCACTGTGTAAATATCGAAAATATGGCGGCCACCCGTTAAGCACCATTGGGACAGGGAGAACTTGTTGGGTCAGTTCCGTTCATAACTCGACCTGACCTCGCACAGTTAACATGTCTATGCGGGGTGACTCAAGGCACACATAGTCTGTGCCTGTGCCAGCTTCTGCGGCAGACGATTCGTCGTCTGCTGCTCGTTCTTCGCCTGCAGCAAGAGGTGCTGCAGGTGCACGCGGTAAAGCACCGCGTGCGCATGATTACCCCGACATTGAGGTCATCTAATCTGACGAGTCAGACGTGTCTGACTCGGGCAATGTTCCAGAGGCGTCTCGATCACCGACGACGCCTCAGTATTCGCCAAGGCCACTGCCGAACGAACGGACTCGTGAGTTGCAACACAGTCTGTTCGGCAGTAATGATGAATATGATGATAAGAATGATTGCTCATCACCGCGATCAGCTCGTGCTTCTTTGCACAAGCGTGATGACTATGGCGCTGAGCCGTGGTACCGACAAGGGTACCACTTCGAAGGCAGATGATCTGAAGCCGTGGCGTTTGCCTGAACGGCTCATGAACGGCTTGTCTCACGAGACAAACCAACACCATCGAATACCCTTATTCGATGCGACCGAGCTTCATGGCTTGGATCCCAGCGCGAGCAACTTTCGTGCTGAAGAGGATTTTTATCTCGATGTCTTTCTTAGACATCGATGGCACAACGGCAACCACAAGCGTGACAAAAACTCGCTTTTGACAGCGTGGAACGCGTTCGTCCAAAACGCAAAAAATTTAGGACGAGAAGGGTGGCTCAAGAAGCTTGAGGCAGTACGCCTCAGGTTCGAAAAGCGAACGCCAACCGGTGACAGGTACCGGTTGCATCGTTTATCAACTGAGGCCGGCATTCCATGCCTCACTTAAGGAGACCCTTGTGCGAGTTGTGCCGACAACTCGCAACGTGCGCAGAGGGACGTGTATTCCCTAGATTCGCCCTGGGGAAGGGCACACATCTCGGCTGAGATGCGCGACGCGATTGCAAACTTGCAATCCGTCTACAAGCGCCTAGGGCGCTTGTTTACCGATAGGCCCGAGGACTCATCGGATGGGTCTCGTCATATTGGCGGACGAGACCTTCAACGTCCATCAACAGCTGAGAGCGGGACTCCCAGCTGTTCCAAGAGGGTGGATACCCCCGCCACTGGACGAGGTAGCTCGTCCTTGATCCTGAATCGTCACGGTGGTTCAAGATACGCTCCACTAGAAAGCGTTGACCACCGTGAGAATCCACCAATGGATGTGGTGGAGGAGGAAAGACCTCCTCCAGATGATTCTGCTCACCATCTCGACCCTTACGAGATGGATCGCGCAATCGATGAATTGCGCGATGACTTGAAGCACGAGCGCGACCGGTGCTACGCTTTGACTGATACCGTGCGGAAGAACCGCAAGGATCGCGAGGCTGATCGGGCGAGAGACCGCGCCGATTACGCCACAGCGCAGCTTCAGGTCGAGCGGGATGTCCGCTCCCTATTCGGCGAGCTGGCGACAGCTCGCGGGAAGATATCTCGGTTGAGTTCCGAGGTATCTTATCTGCGCGACCAGACGGATCGTCTGGAGCGCGAACGCAAGAACCTGATGGAGGTTCTTGAACGTGGGGGCTATCTTCATCGGAAGAAGAAGGCCCGTACCGACAGTACGGTCTGAGTCGCCCCACGTAAAACGTAGGATGCGTGCGCATCCTACGTGGCAATTCGATCGTGTATGCATTGCCCTTGCGATGCAACACTCGAAATGGCCCAATGTATTTCGGCAGTAGTTTACTACTGCCGACACTAGTGACTGCATGTCCAGGTAAGTTTACCGTAGACAGTTGTACTAGGTCATTAACTTTAAATGAAAGAACATTTGCTCTTCCATTCTTGTCTGCGTTCCGTTTCTGGCGGTCCACCGCATTTGCGATGGAGTCCTGAACGAAACGGACTATCGCCTCTCGAGTCAGCAGGAAGTTCTCTGCTGACTCGTTGTTTTGTCTTTCAGTGCGCTTCGTGCGCACTGCTAAGAGATTGTTCTCTTCTTCAGCGAGGTTGTCTTCTTCCTCGCTGGAATAATCGTTGACGATGTTGAATATACCAGCATCGTCATCATCATCCGAGTCAATAATAGCGTCGCCGCTATTATTGAGGTGATCTTCTTCATCGATGTCGACCTGATCGACATCGGCATCATACGTGACGACGTTAGCGTCGACACGTGATGAGCAAGAGCCAAAACGGTTTTTGCTCGAGCGAGTCCCTCCCCCCTTATCCAAGAGTCACACTCTAGAAGGGCGGGCACACGTGGATGGCGTAAGCCATTCACGTAAAACGGTGTGTGCTGTGTTGAGGCATGCACCGAATTATTGATGGCGAATTCCACCATGGGTAGGAATTCGCTCCAACTCGAAAACGAGTGGACATATCCTCGAAGGATCTCTTCGAGGACACGGTTCGCACGTTCCGTCTGACCATCTGTTTCGGGATGGTCAGAAGTGGACATCTTCAATCGTGTTCCAAGAGAACGGAACACGGTTTGCCAAAATTCCGCCGTGAACCGAGGGTCACGGTCGGATACGAGTTCACGGGGTAACCCGTGGAGTCTAAAGACCGTGTCAAGAAATACACGAGCACAACCTTGAGCCTTGATCGACTCGGGTACAGCAGCAAGATGGACCATCTTGCTGAATCGGTCAACAAACACAAGAATACCATTATTCTTGTGAGTCGTCTTCGGGAAACCCGAAGACGAAGTCCATTGAAACGGACTGCCAGCACTCTGCCGGAACAGGCAGAGGCTGTAATGGTGCACGGGATGAAGGACTAGGCTTCACCCGTTGACAAACCTCGCAAGCACGTATGTACTTGCGTACAAACTGATACTGGCGTGGCCAGTAAAAGTCACGACTTACCGTGAGGTAAGTCTTTTCTCTACCACGATGGCCACCTGTTGGGGCATCGTGACACTCGT